AAATAATAGCTTTTTCTGCTAATGACTTTTAAGAAATAAACTTACATTTCCAAGGTAGAAATTCTCTTATTACTTTTGTTAGACATGTAGTTCACCATTCTGAATGCGTACATACTGGTGCTCTACAACATTCCGCATTAAGGTTTATAACGCAAAAGAATTTAGATGACTTCTTTAAAAAATGAGGATACTGATTAAAGTTCCAGCAATGAAATGCTTCAATTATGATTTGTTAAATTAATTGCTCTCATTTGTAATAAAAGTTCTAGAGGATATCACTGTAAATCATTATTTGCAAAGATCTGACAATCTCAAAATCACCAAACCAAGAAAAGATAACAGGACAGAGATAACAGCTGGTAGAAGGCCTGGGTTCAAAGTCCTGGCAAATTCACAACTAGCAATGAGTACTTCCTGCTTATTATAGGTAAGAACTGTTTTTAAAGGTATGAAATTACCTATTTCAATTAACATATTCTTATCCAAATCAACAAACTTTTTTCTTTATAATTGTCACAAGTTCCACTCCTTGAAAAGGAACTTGTTTTCTATGTACTTACTAGTTTATAAAACAAAAGAATTCAGCTTAAATAACTATACATCATAAATTGTGATTTTACAAAGAATGCCTAATATTAATACTACAGGCCCAGTGCACAAAATTTGTGCACTCGGGTGGGTAGGGGGAGTCCCTCAGCCCAGCCTGCGCCCTCTCACAGTCCAGGAGCCCTCGGGGGATGTCCCACTGACAGAAGTGGGACATCCTTAGCGCTGCTGCGGAGGCAGGAGAGGCTCCCACCTCCCACCACCACCGCTGCACTTGCCAGCTGAGAGCCTGGCTCAGAGCTTCTGGCTGAGCAGCGCTCCCCCTGTGGGAGTGCACTGACCATCAGGGGAAAGCTCCTGCATTGAGCGTCTGCCCCCTGGTGGTCAGTGCGTATCACAGCAACCAGTCATTCTGTCGTTTGGTTGATTTGCACATTAGCCTTTTATTATATAGGATCAGCATTAATGTTTTACCTGACTCATGTGGAATGGAAAACAGAAAAGTATGAGGTCCAGCGTGCTTCTCTGTACAAGTACACTTGAGTCCTGCACCGAGGTACTTACTGCTTCTACCTAAAATGAGAGAGCCTTTAGTATCTGTTATCTATTGTTACACTGGGAAATACGTAACATGAAAATGTAACAACTCTTCATTTTCTCCCATAAAAAAATATGATTTTGAGCATCTTATCAATAATTAAATATATTTACAACACTCTGAATAGGTAAATATATTATGACGGCTTAAAAATGAAGAAGCACAGCCCTAACTGGTTTGGCTCAGTGGATAGAGCATCGGCCTGCAGACTCAAGGATCCCAGGTTCAGTTCCGGTCAAGGGCATGTACCTTGGTTGCGGGCACATCCCCAGTGGGGGGGGGGGGTGTGTGCAGGAGGCAGCTGATCGATGTTTCTAACTCTGTATCCCTCTCCCTTCCTCTCTGTAAAAAAAATCAATAAAAATATATTTTTAAAAAATGAAGAAGCACAAAAGAGTATAAAGCAAAAAGGTTCTCTCCCATCTCCGTCTTCCAACCATTCATCCAATTTCCTTTTTGCAAGCAAGCAGTATTACTAGTGAATATTTTCTGCAAGTATAAGTAAACATAAATACACAGGCATAGATCCAAAACCCTGCCATTTTCATTTTAAAATATATTTTGGAGATTGCTCCTTATCAGTACATAAAGTACTTTATTATTTTTTATGGCCATGGAAGTACTTTATTTCATATATAAACTCTTTATTTAACTAGGTTCCTAAGATAGACATTTATACTGTTTGCAGACATTTATTATTGTAAATAATGCTGCAATATACTTACGTAATATACAAATACATCCCTCAAAGTAGTGTTGCCAGGTCTTAGGGTATACACAATTGCAACTTAATCAGTGTGATGCTTTCTGTTAAGGTTACATATATTTATATTCCCAACAGCTATGTGTGACAGTTTCTGTTTTTCCATGTTTACCCATGCATTTTTATTTTTGTCATTCTGATATATGAAAACTGATATCTTGGTGTATTTAAATTTTTATTTCTCTTATAAGTAATGTTGAGCACCTTTTCATGTTTAAATTATTTTTATTTCTTAGGTACATTATCTGTTCAAATGCATTCTTCCACTATATTTATTGATAGTACCTCTTTCAATATTAGAGAGTTTAGTTCTTTCACTATGACTTATTGCAAATGGTTTTCCAATTATAGCATTTGTCTTTCAAAAAAAATTTATAAAATTACTTGTTTAAAACTTTCATTAAATAATTAAAAGGAGCCCTGCTGGCGTGGCTCAGTGGTTGAGCATTGACCTGGAAACCAGAAGGTCCTGGGTTCAATTTCCGGTCAGGGTACATACCTGGGTTGCGGGCTTGATCCTCAGTGTGGGGCATGCAGGAGGCAGCCAATCAATGATTCTCTCTCATCATGGATGTTTCTATCTCTCTCTCCCTCTCTAAAATCAATAAAAAAATTTTTTTAAATAATTAAAAGGAAATGCAAAAACCAATACATTTAAAGATCTACATAAAAATGGTGTAGCCATTTTGGAAAATAATTTGCCAGTTTCCTATAAACTTAAATATACATTACAAGAAAATGTAGGAGTAAATACTTGTGACCTAGGATTAGACACAATTTCTTAGATATTATATAACACCAAAAGCACAATGACAAGAGAAAAAACATAAATTGGACTTGATCAAAATTAAAACTTTTGTGCTTCAAAGGACACAATTAAACACTGAAATCATGGCCAGTTTGGCTCAGTTGGCTGAAGCGTTGTCCCATACCCCATTCAATTCCCAATGAGGACACATATCCAGGCTGCAGGTTTGATTCCCGGTGGGATGCATACAGGAGGCAGCAGATCCATGTTTCTCTCTTACATTAATGTTTCTTTCTTTCTCTTTCTCCTCTCCCTCCCTCTCTCTAAAATCAATTTTAAAAGAAAACATATCCTCAAGTGAGGATTTAAAACAAAAAAAAGGAAGCTGACAAGATAATCCACAGAATGGGGAAAATATTTTCAAGTCATACACACATAAGGGTTTAATGTTCAAAATAAATAAAGAACTCCCACAACTCAACAAGTAAAGGAGAAATAACCCAATTTAAATAATGAGCAAGAACTTTGAATAGGCACGTCTCCAAAGAAGATATAAAAATGGTCCAAAACTAAAAGAAAATACACTCAATATCATTAGTCATTAGAGAAATGCAAATCAAAACTACTTCACATCCACTAGGATGAGTATAATAAAAAGACAGACAATAACAAGTGTTCACAAAGATGTGCAGAAGTAGGACCCCTCATATATTGCTGGTGGAAATGTATATTGGTACAGTCACTATGGAAAACAGCTTTTCAGTTCCTCAAAAAGTTAATCATGACACATTTGTAATACCTTAACTAATAATAAAAAAAAAATGGGAAAAAAAAGTTAATCATGGAGTTACCATATGACCCACAATTCCTCTTCTAAGTATATTCTCAAAAGAAAACATGCCTACAGAAACACTTATTCATTGAATGTTCATAGAGAATCATTCTTTTTAAAAAAATATATTTTATTTATTTTTTTACAGAGAGCAAGGGAGAGGGATAGAGAGTTAGAAACATCAATGAGAGAGAAACATCGATCAGCTGCCTCCTGCACACACCCTACTGGGGATGTGCCCGCAACCAAGGTACATGCCCTTGACCGGAATCAAACCTGGGACCCTTGAGTCTGCAGGCCGACACTCTATCTACTGAGCCAAACCGGTTAGGGCAGAGAGCATCATTCTTAATAGCGAAAAAGTAGACAAGACCCAGAAGTGCCTCAACTGATGAATGGAGAAACAAAATGTGATACAGATATCCATATTATCCAGCCATAAAAAGGAGTGAAGTACTGACACATGCTTCAAATCTTGAAAATATTATGGTAAGTGAAAAAAGCCATTCATAAAAGATTACATATTATATAAATCCATTTATATAAAATGTCCAGAACAGGCAAATTTATAGAAACAGAAAATAGATAAGTGGTTCCAAGGGGCAGGGATAAAGGAGTCTGGTGAGTGGGAATGGGGTAATGAAAATGTTCTGAAATTGGATAGTGATGATAGTTCCACAGATTTATGAATATACTAAAAACCAATAAACTGTACAACTTAAAAGGGCATGTGAATTATATATATCAATAAAGCTGTTATTTAAAAAAGTTAAAAATACATTTACCATATAAACCAAAAATTCCATCCCTAGGTATTTTCCCAAGAAATAAGAACGTATGTCTACACAAGGAATTCTATGCACATGTTTACAGTACCTTTTTCATAATTACCCCAAACTGGAAACAATTTAATCATCCATTAATCAGTGAATAAGTAAACAAACTGTGGTACATTCATACCACAAATTACTCATATATGCAAAAACATAAATGAATCTCAAATCTGTTATGTCAAGTGAAGGAAACAAGAATTAATTGCTATACCCTGCCCACCTGGCTCACTGGTAGAGTGTTGACCTATGAACCAGAAGGTTATGTTTTGATTTTGGTCAGGGCACATGCCCAGGTTGCAGGTTCAATTCCCAGTAGGGAACTTGCAGGATGCAGCCAATCAATGATTCTCTCTCATCATTGATGTTTTTTATCTCTCTGTCCCTCTCCCCTCCTCTCTGAAATCAATAAAAATATATTTTTAAAAAAAGAATTAATGGCCAATACAGTATTATTCTATTCATAATATTCTGAGAAAAGCACAACTATGGAAACAGAAAACAGACCAGTGTTTGCAAAAGCCTCGGAGTGTAGGGGAAGGGGAGTGACCACAAAGGGGCACAAAAGAACATTTTATGGTGATATAAATAAATATCCTATATTTTGATTGTAGCATTGGTCTCATGACTGTGTATCTGTCAAAATTCATAAAACTATACATGTTCAGGGCGACAACAACGTGGCGATGGCGGGCTGGCGCGGGGCGCTCATCATGCTGGAAGGCGTGGGCCGGCCAGGAAGAGCACGCAGAGCTGCAAGTTGGTGGCCGCGCTCTGCGCCGCCGGCCATCCTGCCGAGCTGCTACGCTTCCCGGAAAGATCAACTGAAATTGGCAAACTTCTGAGTTCTTATTTGGAAAAGAAGAGTGAGGTGGAGGATCACTCAGTGCACCTTTTCTCTGCAAACCGCTGGGAACAAGTGCCATTGATTAAGGAAAGGCTGAGCCAGGGCATCACCCTCATCGTGGACAGACAGGCGTTTTCTGGTGTTGCCTTTACCAATGCCAAGGAGACCTTCTCTTTGCATTGGTGCAAGCAGCCAGACGTGAGCCTTCCCAAACCTGACCTGGTCGTGTTTCTTCAGCTGAGGTTGGCAGAGGTTGTGGAGCGGGGCAGGTTCGGCCAAGAACGCTATGAAGATGGGGCCTTCCAGGAGCGGGTACTGCAATGCTACTACCAGCTCATGGAGGACAGGACCCTAAACTGGAAGGTGGTTGATGCTTCCAAAAGCATTGAAGACGTCCACAAGGAGATCCGCACGCTCTCTGAGGACATATCCAGGCCGCAGCACAGAGGCCGCTGGGGAAGCTCTGGACATAAATGTGGAGGGACTGTCCCCCTTCCCTGGGTCCTGCGAGGCCGGAGCCTTCTGAAAGGCTTGATGTGCAGAGTGTTCACATTGCACAACATGGGGGATGTGCACAAGTCAACAACAAGCAGAGCTACGATGAGCCTCTCGAGAGGCCTGGGCACAGGGACCTCGTGGTATGTCACTCAGCCTTCCTCTGCCCTCTTTCACCCTGAGGATGTTGATAAATCATTGCGCCTTTTATTGAAACTTAATGATAACAATATCCAAGCAGGTTCAAGATAATTCATGTGGCAATCAGTTTAAAATCTGAATTTCTTACAGGCACGAATAAGTTACTTTGAAAGTAAAAACAACAACAACAACAAAAACTATACATGTTCAACAAGTTAATTTCAGTGTATGTTAATTATACGTTAATAAATATAACTGAAAATCTGCACAAAAATCTCAATCATATATAATCATGTGGAAGTAAAGTACAGGATGATTAATTAAAATTTGTTTTTTTAATTTTCCAAAGGACCCTTGAGCCTTTCTTTGTTTTTTAATCATTGAGTATTTTAAGAGTACAACCTTCCAGAGATAAATGGTTTCCTTCTGTTCTTAATTTTCAAATTAAAAAAGTATAAACAATCAGTGTGATTTTTTCCATTATCTGATTTTAGTACTACATCCTCTGACACAAATCCCACACAGAATATAGCTATCATTCTGTCTAAAACATGTCTTTCTTTTAAAGAAAACTATGATCAAAATGAAGGTTCATTTCAGAATATCATAATAAATGTGGCTATGTTAACAGTGGTCTGATAAGCAAGCAAAATGATATAAAGATTACTTATTTGCTTGAATAACAGATAATAAAAATAACATATAAATAACAATTTCCTTTTCATGAAAAAAAAATCTGAAGATTTTAAAAACAATAATTACTGATTATTTTTGTCTTTAAGTTTCCTTAATGAAAAAGGTAAGCTCCATGAAAATAGGAACTTTGTTTGTGGCATGACTTTCAATATCTGTCGGAAATAATGTACTGATTCTAAAGAAGTATTTGTTCAAGAAGCAACCACATATGGACCTACCATTAACTCAATATCACTGCCAATTATATAAAGTTGATCTTCCATGGAAAGCTTCCTGTTCAAATGGGCGAGAACATACGTGATTCCAGGTAAACGCACAGCAGGACTGGTGAGAAGACTACCCCAGAGGGCACTATAGAATGCTGATTGGTCCACTGCGGCAGCAACCTTTTCCAACAATGTGTTTGTTCTGAGGGACAAAATAAGATAGTTTAAGAAGGGAAAGATTTATTGTCAGATAATAAATTGTTATTCTCTTCCAGAAAGTATGAAAGTATCCACGTTATAGTCATATGCTCCACTCAAGAGACAAATGTGGTAGCCTGGAAGAAGCATGTACTTTAGAAATCAGAGGACCAGATTTAAGTCCCATCTCCACCATTTACTAGCTGTGTAATTTGGGAAATCATTTAATACATCTTCAGTTCAGTTTCTTCATCTATAAAACTAAGATAACAAAAACAATATCACAAATCCTATCTATATCAGCGGGTTGTTAAACACCATACAATTTTAGTTAGTAGTACTCTTATAGCAAAACATATTTTCTATAAAATCTTAAAAGGGCACTTCCAAATATTTCCTTCTCTTTAAAATCATACTATGTAATTCACAACAACTTTGAAGAATTAGACCTATGACAAAATCATTACTGCTCTATTAAGGATTACATTTAAAAATTACTCCTGCTGGATTGCTTGGCTCTATGGTTGGGCGTCGATCTATGAACCCAGGAGGTCAGGGTTCGATTCCAATCAGGGCATAAGCCCGGGTTGTGGGCTCGATCCCCAATGTGGGGCATGCCGGAGGCAGCCGATCGATAATTCTCTCATCATTAATGTTTCTATCTCCCTCTCTCTCTCCCTTCCTCTCTGAAGCCAATAAAAAATATATTTTAAAAAATTACTCTTGATTTCTTGTGAACATAAAATGAACAATACACAAATATAGATGATTTTATGATATTATAGCATAGCCAGAATCAAGAGAATCTGATGAGTTTTATTGTTTACTTGCTATAATACTAACCTATAATCCCTTCTGACCTCAATTTATCTATGCATTGAAAGAAGAAAGTATTTACAAATCCTTTCATAGGACATGTGTGGAATAAGTGGCTAATGATAATGCTATGTTCTGAATGTTTCTGGCTCCTAAAAATTCACATGTTAAACTTTAATCCCCAAAGGTGATGTTATTAGGAGGTGAAAGCTTTTGGGAGATGCTTAAGTCATGAAGGCCCTCCTGAATGAGATTAGTTTTCTTATGAAAGAAACCCACAGAACTGAGCTACTAACCAGAAAGAGTGCTTGCCCTAGAACAGGGTGGGCAACCCCTGGCACGCATGCCAAACATGGCACACTAGTAACTTTTGCTGGCACGTGAAACCCTCCCTTATAATCTTCCATTTACAATTGTGAATCTTTGTTCTCAGTGATGAATTTTGTTAAGTCTCATAATAGGAGTAGCCTGACGGATGAAAGTAGTAGCTCATGCATCTCTCTGAAGGTCACGAAATATAAACCTGATGTAAAATCTCTGTCATCAGTGATGCAGCAGCAAAAGTCCCACTGATAATATCAAACAGAGTCATAAAGTTTTCTGTTGGACTATCAGTGTACATGTATACATTAAAAAATAAATGTATTTTTCATCATCATATACTGTATTTTTGTCGCTCGAATGAATTTTATTATTTCTTTAAGGTTCTCGACATACGTACACCTTAAGAGATATCAAGTAGGCGTAATATGTTCTCAAAAAATTAGGGTTGGCACACAAAAGAATTTTGAGTCAGAGATTTTTGCTGGTTTTGGCACACACTCACAAAAAGGTTGCCCACCCCTGCCCTAGAACAAGACCATGATGGCAAATTGAACTTAGATTTCCAACCACCAGGACTGTGAGAAATAAATTTCTGTAGTTTATTAGTTATCCAGTCTGGGGTACATTGTTATAGCAGCACAAATGGACTATGACACACAAGATAAATCATAGGGATACCACATTAATAAAGATCACTATTCATTTCTATGCTAAAATTTCTAATTGTAACTAATAGAGTTATAAAGTGATATTGATTCTATACTTCCCTTAGGAAAATTAATGCAATAATTTAAAACAAAACTGATTTATAAAATAACCTCATGTTATATTTCTAAAATTGTAAGCAAATAAGTGAAAAAGTTAAGAAAAGAAAATAAGCTTTGGGGACAAAATTAATTTTTCTCAAAGCAGCCTATAAATATTATCCAATATTTTCAGGATTAGATTCTTACTGTATTAGGGGAGCTGATGAAATACAATAAAATGGAGTAGTAGTTAATTATACTAGAATAAATTATTTAAATTTAAAAATTAAGTCTACTTATAAAATAAGTCTGACATTTTCTATTTTTGCCATCTCAACTTGTAAGTCCCCTTTTTGGTAAGAATAATAAGATATTAAAGATACTTAATGCCATCGTGCATTGTCTACAACTATTAACTTCCCTAGAAATGATAATAGGCTCCAAAAGAAATAAAATCCTTTTTTATACATTTTTAATGTTTTTATTGATTTCAGAGAGAGAAAAGGAAAGAGAGATAGAAACATCAATGATGAGACAGAATCATTATCGATCAGCTGCCTCCTGCATGCGCCTTACTGGGGACTTTGCCAGCAACCCAGGCATATGCCCTGACCAAGAATGGAATCATCATCTCCAGGTTCATGGGTCGATGCTCAATCAATGACCAACACTGGCTGGGCAGATCAAATAATTTTAAAGTTAAAATATCAACAGTGTTATGTCAACAGCTACTAAAACAGCACTGCACTTGGAGCTAGGATATTTTCCAGCACTAACAATTTAAAAACTGTTGGCATTGGCCCAATTTCCCATTTTAAAAATTAATCTAAACGTCCTACCTACTGTATTTTTATTTTAAATTGTGGGTCACAATTATTTGAGTGACTTATATATGCTAGGCTGTAGACTAAATGATTTCATTATTACAATAACACATTGAAATAAGTATTATGCTTATTTTATAGATGAGGAAATTGAAAAAAGTTCAGAAATGTTTAAAAAAGCTTTGCTGAGCTCACACAGTATCGGTGGAGCCAGGATTTGAACCTAATTCATTTATCTCCCAAGTGTGTGCTCTTATCACCTAGCTTTATTTTCAGTGTGATACACATACCAGATAATTACAATAATTTTTTTGCTACAGAAACTCCAGGTGGTATACTGAAGGATCTAGAAGAGTTAATTTTTGTGATGTTAAAACATTACTGATTTAAGGATGCTTGCTGACAAATCTATGACTTCGATTACTTAACTGCATACCATCTTACCTCTCATAGTACTCTGATCCTTCTTCTAAGCCAGGAAGAATACCAGTTAGCAATCCTTGTAGACCAGGCTTCAGTGTTTTACCCAAAGGCAGGTAATATATCTCATACAAACTTAGCAATGTTGGTTTCACAGACATGGCAGCATTTGCAAGAAGAGGAAATAATCCAGAACTGTTTAAAAATATAAAACCATTAGCAACTATATGCCAACAAACTAGACACACTAGAAGAAATGGAAAAATTCTTAGAAACATACAAAGTATTAAGACTGATTCAGGAAGAAATACAAAGTCTGAATAGACCAATTACTAGTAAGGAGATTGAGTCAGTAATAAAAAACAAACAAACAAACAAAAAAAACTCCCAACAAAGAAAAGCTCAGGACCAAATGACTTCACTGGTGAATCTTAGCAAGCATTTAAAGAATCATTAGTGACAATCCTTCCAAAAAATATCAAAGAAGAGAGAACACTCCCAAACTCATTTTCTGAGGCCAAACCAAAGCCAGAAAAGGACACTGGCAGAGAAGAAAACTATGAACAAATATCCTGATGAATATGGTACAAAAATGCTCAATAAAATGC